GGGGAAAAAAGAAAGAAGAAGGGGGAAAAGAAAGAAGGGGAAAAAGAAAGAAGGGGGAAAAAGAAGAAAGGGGGAAAGAAAAGAAATTGGAAATAAAAAGAAGAAAGGGGGAAAGAAAAGGAGAAAGTGGGGGAAAAAAAGAGGAAAGGGGGGAAAAAAAGAAGAAAGGGAAAAACAAAAAGAAGAAAGGGAAAAACAAAAAGAAGAAAGGGAAAAACAAAAAGAAGAAAGGGAAAAACAAAAAGAAGAAAGGGAAAAACAAAAAGAAGAAAGGGAAAAACAAAAAGAAGAAAGGGAAAAACAAAAAGAAGAAAGGGAAAAACAAAAAGAAGAAAGGGAAAAACAAAAAGAAGAAAGGGAAAAACAAAAAGAAGAAAGGGAAAAACAAAAAGAAGAAAGGGAAAAACAAAAAGAAGAAAGGGAAAAACAAAAAGAAGAAAGGGAAAAACAAAAAGAAGAAAGGGAAAAACAAAAAGAAGAAAGGGAAAAACAAAAAGAAGAAAGGGAAAAACAAAAAGAAGAAAGGGAAAAACAAAAAGAAGAAAGGGAAAAACAAAAAGAAGAAAGGGAAAAACAAAAAGAAGAAAGGGAAAAACAAAAAGAAGAAAGGGAAAAACAAAAAGAAGAAAGGGAAAAACAAAAAGAAGAAAGGGAAAAACAAAAAGAAGAAAGGGAAAAACAAAAAGAAGAAAGGGAAAAACAAAAAGAAGAAAGGGAAAAACAAAAAAAGAGAGGGGGAAACCAAAAAAAAGGAAGGAAATGAAGGGGAAAAAAATACTAAAAAGAGCCCGAAACAAAGTGGAGAGCTTGGCTCTCCGTCTCTGCTAGTCGCACTCTGAAAACACCCCCAGATCTTCCTGCGTATCTGGAGTTTTAGGGTCGGGCTCTGTCTCTCTCTCTCTCTCTCTAAGGTAATTTCATTTTATTGAGTAGGATCCTGGAAGCCGTAATGCCTCCCCGGTCGTAAAGAAGAATGACTTCAACTTACTAGGGTCTAATTCGTGCTTTTCTTCTTTGTGTTTGCTGGAAGCGATGGCTTCAGACTCCGGGGAAGGAATTGTCTGCGCTGCTCTGTCTCTCAGCTCCCCCGGAGTCCCGTACAGATAATCCGCATAGCCTCGACCGTCGCTTGGACCACATTCTGCCCTTCGGCTAGGAAAAGCATCAGGCTTCAAACCATAAGGACGAGCCCCAGGGGCAAAGGCCGGGAATGATACAGTCCCTGCTAAAGGTTCCAACCAAGTCCTCATATACCTGGGTTCAGCCCCCACGGGAGCTTGGGGAGCATAGGGATGATGATAACCCACCGAGGATTGGGAATGAACTGGAGCCCAAGAAGTGGTGAAAACAGCAGGTTTAGGGGCGAAACTGCAAGATGGAAAGTCGGCACAGTCCGGGACTAATCCTGAAGGTCTGGTAGCAGCAGGATGAGCAGCAGAGCCTGGGAACCTAGAGGCCAAGAGTTCTTCGTTTTCGTGGCTTATCAAAGAGTCAACATAATAGTTGCTTATGGGGCCAGAAGTCGACATGGTTCCCCCCTCTTTTACATTCATAAGATTATTGTATGAACTGTATGTGTACTTTTTATCTGCTCATAGAACAATCAGGGCAGGTAATTATTTTTTCAGCCTTTCCCACTGTTCCATTGGCTGCTGTTCTCACGTGATTGTATTTAACCAAAAATATCGCTTGGATCAATCCGCAGGGCTTTTTTTTTTTTTTTTTTTTTTTTTTTCCCTCTCTCTTCTCCTTTTCCTCTATCCTTTCCTTTCCTTTTTTTTTTTTTTTTTTTTCTCTCTTTAATCTAATAAACCCCGCTCGGTTTTTCCTTAAAATCTCTGGAAATGGGGCGGAGATGGGGGAGGAGGGATGCTCAAGCTTTTTTTTTCGGCCAGGGGGGATGCTCAGCCTGAGGGTTGAGAGAGGAGGGGGAGAGATTTATCCTGATGCTAAGAGAAGGTGGAAGGTAATTGTGGAAGGTAGTCCAGGAACTATTTCTTGACGTAATTTATCTCTGTCCTTTTTTTTTTCCTTCTGCAGCTTCTAGCCTCTAATGGATACATTAAATCGCATCTCGGTGAGAAGGGGAAAGGGGAGAAGTGAAGTAGAGGTGGAATCCCCACCCGGAGGAAGGAGCTGAGAAAAGGAGGGGGGAAAAGCTCAGAGCCTAAAAGCAAAAAAGGCTTTTGTCATCTTATTTTTGCAGCGCTGTCTCCTCGTCAAGCTGCTGAGCAGCTGAGAGATCTGTGGGGCAGCTCGTCCTGCTTTAAGATCTTCAGGAGGGGGGGGAAAAAAGAAAAAAAAATGAGGATATCTCTCTAATACCAGGAGCAGCTTTCAAAAGAGGAGGGGGAATAATAATGACATCCCCCCCACACCTCCAAAAAAAAAAAAAAAAAAAGAGGAAAGCTTAAGCTTTTGCAGGGGAAAGCTGCGTTATTCGGCAAGTAGTCGTGGATGTTTTTATGTCCTTCAATAAAATTTTTACGAGGATCGTTTGATTGTTCATAAATGTGTCGTTCATTAAATAAAACCGTAGGACTGAGGTTCAGCTCTCGAGCAGGGGATGAGAGAGGTTTTTTTTTGGGCTCAGGAGGAAGCAACAATGTGTGTTGGGCACATGGTGGGTGGTTTTTTTTTTTTTTCTTTTCCTTCTTTTTTTTTTTTTTGGTAACGCCTGGAAACTTTTTTTTTTTTTTTTTTTTTTCTGCACCAAATCGTGTGAAGAAGTTGGGAGCGTTAAAAATTCGGGGAATAGCCTGGCTGCATTTTGAGAGAATAACCTTTCCTTTGTAAGGAAAGACAGGTAGGTAAAGAGCTCACGCCCATTGGAGCCTCCAAGAAGGAGATTTCTTTGGATTCCAAAAGAAATTCAGATCCCTAATAAAAAAAAAAATAACCTCTCACCATTTTTTTTTTCCTTGGAGCAATAGAACCCCTCAAAAAAAAATGACTTTTCTGGGGCTCAGCAGAGCTCTCCATCACCTCGGGGTTCCTAAGGTTGGGAGGACATGGAGGGAAATGGTCCAAAATTGGAAAAAAAAGGTAAAATGTGGGTTCAGAAAGAGATGGGAGATCCTGAAGGGGTGGGAAGGGTGTCCCAGTGATGCAGTGTCACCAGTGACAGTCACTTTGCACAATCTGGACAAGTCCCACGGACAGATACGGCACAAACCTTTCCCATTCTCCAGCATTTTTTGTTCCCTACTTCACTAAATTGCATGAGAAACGCGAGGAGGAGGAGGAAAGGGATTAAGGCAGAGGCAGGGAAAAAGAGGAAAAAAAAAAATAAATAAAAATGGAGTTGGTGGTGTCAGGAGAAGGCTCCAAATTCAGCCTTCAGCTGCACCAAGGGATAAAAACCTGCACCTCAACCCGCAGGGCTCGAGCAAAAAAAAAAGAAATCAATGGATGCACAAAGCTGCTGGGAAAAATAGGATTTCCCTCCCGAAACATAGGCAAGGCTGAAAAATGAAGATCTGACTGGATGTGTTTGTCAAGGGACTCTGGTTTTGCCAAATTCGAAGAGAGAAAAGTCCTCGACTCGCTCCCCCCACCCCATCCAACCCCCAGAATTTATTCCTCATTCCGTTTTAAGTCTCTGCTTTATGTGAGCCCTTAAAGGGAAATATTCCTGCAGGAGCAGAATGTCTTCTTTGGCCTTTATCGAGCCCAATTTATCTGTCAATCAGCAGTCTCCACTGACGGTTATTTTTATGTTCACGGGGAGGCAAAAAAAAAATAAAAAAAAATCTACTCATCATTCTTTTATCTCTTCCCATTTTAAAGATCCTTCCTGTGCTAAGCTGCTGCTGCTGGAGGGGAAAAAGCAGCCTGAGCTTGGCTACTTTGGGAGGATATTTCCAAGAGAATCCTTACAAAACCAGAGTCGTGTGGACCAGCAGAAGGAGAGAGGGAGAAAGGAAAAAGAGGCAGAGAGAGAAGGAGAAAGAGAGAGAGAAAGGAAGGACTGAACATGCAGAGGGAGAGAAACACACTGAGAAACAAGGAGGAGGTTTTACCAAGAGGGGAAAAAAAATATGACAATAATATCACAATACAGCCCAGACGAAGAGCAAAAGGAGAAGAAGTGATCGAAGCCACAGAGTTATCATAAGGAGCAGCAGTTTTTGTAAGCTTAAGACGAGGTCACTAAATGAGTCGTGGACGGTGGATGTTGGTGTTACACAAAGGCAAACGGAGCTGGCAAAGATTTCTTTTATTTGCACGGCAAACCTGCAGCAGACGGAATTGGAGCTGAATTAAAAAAAAAATAAAAAATCAGCTCGCGTTTGCAACCCAAATCCTTTTTCACGCAGGGACTGTTGAGAATTGAACAGCACAAAGCAGAGATGGAGACACTTCACCTTACAGCAAATGAAAGCCACGGCTCCAAACTAAAGATACGGCTCGAGATTAAAAACGAGACTTAAAACAGAGTTTCCCCTCCCGTTTATCTCCCGTAACACGATGTGAACCCCCATAAAATTTAACGCCATGTGAACCCCCATAAAATATTGTCCTTTCACTCTCCTCTCCACGTGAAAGCATCCCCATGGATGGAGGCAAAGTTATGTGGATAAAGTCGTCGCAGAGTGCAAGAAATATCCTGAAATCATCTTCTTTTCTGTAGTAGAGTCTCCAAGCTAATATCCAGCTTGGAATTGGAAAACGTCTGGCTATTGAATTCAGCAGCTACAAGGTTATCTCGCAGCTTTTCTGCTCGTTCCAGCCACACTCCTAAACCTTCACAACAGCTTCGGGATTTGTTCAATAGGAGATTACCTCTTCTGAAATGATGGGCAACTACCACATCCCTTTCCAGACAGATTCCTATCATTTCCTCTCACCTCCCCTTTCGAATCTGCAGGGGGAAGAAACTTAACTGCACCGAGAGAAACTAAAAGAGACAATCCAAAAAAAAAAAAAACACTAGGACGATTTAGATTTAGTCTTTCCTGACGAAGGAATAATCATACCAGGAAAGAATAGTAATGAAAAAAAAATATATAAAAATAAGAAAGTCGCAGGCGCAAATTAAGAGGTTAGAGAAAAAAAATGAAGCTTTTGTTCTGGCTGGTTGACTTCTGACACCTTTTCGGAGCTAAATGTTGCTCATATTCGCCCTTGTCCCTGAAAGTGTTCTGTGTGTGCTCAGCCCGAGCTGCTTCCCTTCCTTCCTTCCCTGCAGCTAGATTCTTTCCCCCTACTTCCAAATCTCTTGCTTTCGCTTTGAGAAATTCTCCCCTGATTGGAAGGAACGGAGACAAAAAAATAACCCTAATAAAAAGGCAAAAAAAAAAAAAAAAAACCAAACCCAAACCCCACCAAGACAGAAGAGGGAGGAAAAAAAAGAGAAATCCTCACTATTGGCCAGCTAAGGAGACGCTGCTTTCGGGGGCTATTTTCTTGCTCTTTAATTCTTATTTTTTTTGCAAAAAAACCCAACCTGGTGGCAAGGCAAAGCTACGACTTGTAGGGGGAGGAATCCAATATTTTCCCTACCACAATTCCAGGCCCGAGAGATGCCACAACCTTTCCCCGGCGAGGGATACCCCGAGGCTGATCGCAGCTCCCCCCGGGGCAGCAACCAGGATTTTCCCGAGGGAATCGCAGCTAGAAGCATCCCCCGGAGCTGCAGCCCCGAGATTTCTCCGGGATGGCATCCCAGAGCTTCTTCCCCCAGGATCCCATCCCGGAGCTCCCTCCGGGATCGCATCCCAGAGCATCCCCCGGGACTAGACCCTGGAGATCCCCCCAGGATCCCATCCCGGAGCTTCCCCCAGGATCGCATCCCGGAGATTTTCCCTGGACCACATCCCGGAGCTCCCCCCGGGATCAAATCCAGAGCTTTCCCGGGGCAACATCCCTCGGAGCTCCCTCCTGGTTCGCATCCCAGATATTTCCCCTGGACCAGATCCCGGAGCTCCCACCGGGACCACATCCCTGAGCTTCCCCTAGGATCTCATCCCAGAGCTTCCCCCTGGACCAGATCCTGGAGGTTCCCCCCGGATATGGATTTT